CAACGTTCTTTATCTGTATGGTTTTGGATGTTTCGAACTTTACATAATATTGGTTCATTCGAGCAAATAATTAGAAAGTCACGAACGAGTTGCTATTTTTGCTCTGGAAAAAAAGCACCAATTTGGGAGCGGTGTTGAGAGTAGACCTGTGCGCCGATCAAAATATTTTCGGCGGCGGCAGCGTGACATTGATGATTTAGAAAAAAAAAAATTTCCAAACCAATCGCTCATGGACAAAAAATTCTACCCACATTTGAGCTCAGATTACTTAAAATCGCTAAAACGTAGCTCAGTTTGAATAAATTTTCCGACACTTTCCCGGAGAAAACTTCTTGAATATGGAGAAACATTAGCAAAATTAAACACAGTTTAGAAGTTTATTAGTAGACAGACTGAAACCACAATCAGTTTTCCTCATATTCGAGAAGTTTTCCTTGGAAAAGCATCGGTAAATTTACTTATTCTATGAGTGACATACGTTTTCGCGAATTTGAGTAACCTGAACTCAAATATGAATAAATCTTACTCAATTTTGAGTTGCTCTCATTGGCCGTGCATGCGGAATTTGTTGAGAAAAGTATGTTTATTTTTCTTGATTTGTTTTCCGTCGATCTTGTTTTCCGTGCTGAGCACCAATGCTCAAACCTTCTTTTGAGGCAGGCCCTAAGCCTAACCTAACGTGATGAACTAGCCTACGGCTAAAAATCACGATAGTAAATAAAAAAAATTCTTGTGACTATGGCATGACCAGACACTCCCGGGTAACTGCTCAGTAGCATGAGACCCCTGAACTGTGTCACAGGGCCGGCATGTTACTGGGTATTCGGAGGGGCTCCGCGGACAAAGTATGAAACACAGGAATATTCACATTTTATAACACATTTACTTGCCCTATTCTGTGGCGTGTGGGTGTGGGTTTTCACATATATGTGAAAAGTATGCGAGGGTTTTAAAATTTGCACTGTACTCACTGCTGCAGCGGGATCTCCTACGGCGTCGCGACGCTGGCGTTGGCCCACACGTTGCACTACCGTGTGGCCGGAAACTTGCGGCGCGGGCTGTAGACAGTATTGTTGCAGCTTTGGGAGAATGGCGGATCTGGTGGCGTTCATCAGCCACATACGGCTCAGCAGGCGTTGCTGGCAGGCGTCTTCCGTCGTTGACAAAATCGGCTGACCGTGGCATGGCCACCTTGGTCGAGCCGAGACGGGACCCTCCTTGGCAATTAAGGCCACCGGCCTGAGGGAATCGTCCTTGACGGACGATCGAGGATCATTCACTATTAGGCTCGGAAGCCATCTTGACTTCCAAGCCGAGCCGTGTAAAACCATTTTGTTTACGGTACGAGGTCCTGAGAATTGTCATAATTCAGGGAAATTTCCGTCAGGATAATAAAAAGTAAATTACCTGAACGGAGGCAGTCCAATATCCCAGAAACCCCACAAGGGGGGGGGGGGTATACTAAATGGCACTGCACTTTACGATACCGGTCTACACGGACGCCTGATTACTTCTGCCAATTAGAAGGTTTTTCTTTTAGAAGATGGCCACTCGCATGCCTTTTGCCGATCATTCTCCATTTTTAGCTTAAGACCACGATTGTGCTCCGTTTAGTATCGTTCGAGTGTTTTTGCAGCGGTACTAATCCTCTCGCTGCTGTGTGTTGCCTTCTGTCTTTTAAATTAAAATACGTGAATTTTCCAAACAACAACAACTCATACAAACGAAAATCCACGGATTGTAACCAACTGGTTACATTCTAGAGGATGAATCTCTACAGAAAGTTTACACGACTTTTGAGAGATGGTTTCAGGGAAGTCCAAACGAATTAGTCAGAATCACTATGCCTCGCAAAATAGGTCAGAATACGTATGAACTCGATGGCCATAGGATCCGGACCGAGAGTCAATTGTATGGGTAAGGAGCGTTGCAGCGCTAATGTACGGTGTAAACAACAGCCCGGTGCCGAACGATCCTACCATTCTTCAGAAGTATCTGCAATCACAGCTGTTTCTCCACAGAACCACCCGGTACGATTTATGCTTCACCAATCAGTCAGCCGTGTAGCTCATTCTATGGACTGAACTCGGATTCGATTGACTGGTGGAGTCAATGGATCCCGTCTCCCATTTGGATAATGCTGGAAATTATTCCATGGAAGAGGTAGAAAAACGGTTTAAAAGTAAGAATTTGATAATAATGAGAAAGAAGAAGACCAGAGCTAGTTAATTTGTTACCGTAAATGGCCAATATCAGTGGTTTTCTGGGTCTCCTGTAAATTTATTAGGGTGTTTAAAGGTTCTGAACCACACACTTTGAAAAAAAAATAGTAAATTTAGGTGCACTGAGACATATACGAGTGTCAATGTTGACATAAAATTGAATCATAATAGACGCAAAATTCAGCTCAATAAAACGTACTTTCGAACTTTTCAGTCTCGGAGCACTTAATTTTACATGACATGTTCGTTTACGTCTTATCCTTTATGTCAAAGATGGATTCCGTCACGTGTAAGATTTGGTATTTCTAAGTGTACATGGACCAAGTAGTTGGACTACCCCATAAAATAGGAAGATCAGTTAGACGAATTTAGTACTTAACCACGACTGCTGACACTGGGATGCTATTGTAGGTCTATTGCTGCTACTACTACCGCCGGTAGGTATTTTAGGCCGAGTCCTTCCTGTTTTTGAGGTTGTAGCATTGCCCGAGTAACATGATGATAATGCATTTGCCGGTTGGGTACTTGGTTTCGGCAAACGTCTGCCAGAATGACGCATGGTACAGAACTGTCTTCTCCTGGATGGACAGCTTCTGCCATCAGTCACCCTTCTCGCGGAGGGGCTGAGCTTCGAGTGCCACTCCCTTGAAGCTCTCTCGATCTCTCAAAAGTCATAAGTGCAGGGTTGCCAAACTCATGGGTTACTGAGACTGATACCTTGATTACCACACTTTGGGACGTTCGGCACAACGCTTGACCTAGCTTTCGGCACAGATGATGTACTGGGCACAGATTGGAATGTGCAGAGTTGAACACCCCTTGTGTGTTTCGGATAAACATAGAATCCCGTACAACTTGGACCTGTAAGAGATTAAAAAACTACAAGGGACAGCCCAATGGGGTTGTACGCAATGGGGACGTAGGACTACGTGGTATAATAAATCTTATTTGTTAACTGCAGCAAAAGTTTGTGTTTTGTGTAGGAATAGGAGTCGTACTCGTTAGTATGACGCGCTTGACATAGATGGCCAATAGAGTGATGCAAAATTTGAAATTTTCGCTCCACAATACTCAAACGATTCCAAATCGGATTCTGACTAACCTCTCAAAATTTGAACCCATTTGGTGATAAACTGAGATGGCACAAACCATTTGAAATTTGTATGGGAATTACTATGGTAAAACCAAGATTTTTGTTCATGTATATCTAAAAATTCACCATATCGGTCTGCTTCAAATGCTTTCAAGTGTACTTGTAGGAAATTCCAGCTACAACTTTGCTGAATACCACTTTTTAATTAAATGCAAGGATCGAAAGTTATCAATGGTGCAATGCGCTGATGTCTTATGATCATGCTCAATCAACTGGTCAGCAGGCAACATTGGTGTTTCTGGGGCGTTGAATAGGACACCAAAATAATGGCTACTATGTCACACTGCAAAATACAGTGTTGCCTACAGGGCAGGGATCATGTCATAAGTTAACCAATCTCTTAAATAATTAATAACTTTGTCCTGTCTCGTTTTACATAGAAACGATCTTGAGCAAATTTGTAGCTGAGAAAATTTTCTATAAGAATGGCTATCGAACTGTTTCGCAGCTCAATATGGAAAAAGAATAGAAGGCAATGAACAAAAAGTTGACATTTCCCATAGTAATTTACATGCCAAATTTACATTTCTAACCAAATGAGTTGTTACTTTGGGAGGCTAATCAGGACCCGATTTGAAACCATTTAAGCACTGTGGAGCGAAAAAGTCAAATTTTGCATCAGTCTAATGGCCAACTGCGATGCGATCTATGAATGCTCATGTGGGCTCCAGCTTGCAGGCAGCCTTTCGTTGTGTACTGGAGAACACCACCAATCACAACGCGGTGATTGAATAAACACCGTTTGGTGGAATTGGAATTCATCTTTGAAATCTGTGTTAGGTAAATCGCTTTTCGCAGGCAATAGGTGATAATTTTAATTACCATAGCAACAATTGCACATTCGTGCAATTTTCAATAGTGACATTTTGAAAAATGATACAGTCTCAAATTCAATAGATGTGTAGAAATATTTCTGATCGGTTGATGAAAAATTATTGAAATTGGTGCAGGGGCAACTAAGTTATGAAAGTTCAAAATCTTTCATAATTTTGTTACATGTTCCATTTTTGGTTTTCACAAAGTGTACCCCCATATAGAAATCACAGACGTAGTCCTACGTCAAAAAAAAAAGCTCAAATATCAACGTGTTGTTGATAATAGTCACTTATTCACCTTTATGTAAATCCGATCTGAATGATTCCTTCCTGTGTGCTAGATCAATAAAGTGCGAACAAACGTCAACAAACTAAATAAAAATCGCTACACCACACACAAGTTCTAATTTCAACGCGTTCAATATGCATTTTACCGAAAAGGTGAGTCAAATAAGTCTATGTTATGTGTTAAAAAAGACGAAGCCCCACCCCAACCACGTCACTGCTGCACTGATTAAGGCCCTGAAGCGGAAAAATGAATCCACAATCCGGAGTGGCAGAAGGACACCAAACCTCCGCCGGGCGGTAGCAGTAAAGAAGTAAGCCCAATCAATGGCAATATAAACGGACAAGGCAACAGCAAAAATGGCAGCAGTTGGCAGTTGGTGCTTTTTGCCGTGCGGTTTGCGGTTCAGAACGGGCATCATCGAGCGGCAAAATCTGTCCGGAGAACAGCGTAGACTTAATCCGGTTAGTGGCTTTCGGTTTATTGTGTGGGGTTTTCTGTTTTCGGTAATTCATTCGGCAAACAACTCTTGGTTTTGTGTGATGTTCAAAAAATATTTTCTATTACAAATTATGGCAACAATGGTGTTGGAAGAATTAAAATTTAAGCAAACGCTACCCGACTCTGTCGCTTGGGCTTGCCGGTCGGTCGTTCGGTCATCTCCATCTGCATAGTAGGTCGTTCAAAGTCCATGGCCTCCTCCTCTTCGGAATAATCCTCTAGCTCTTCATCGATCTGGTAGGCATAATTTATCATGCCTTGGTTTCCACGTTCAAAGTTCGGTGGTTGATTGTACTGGTTACCGTTCGAGCCTCTTCCTGTTGGCGGACCGCTGTAGCCAGGCGGAGACAGGCTCTTTCTTTGATTCAGTCCACTATCGGGACTACCCTGATACCACAAATCTCCAGCCGTATCGTAAGGATTCTGTCCCTGGAGAATGGATTTTCGGATCTTTCTCTGCTCGGCCATTGACTTCCTTCTCGTGTCCAGTACGTTCAGCGTCTTTCTGCTCAGCGTCAATCGACCACCCAGGTTGAGATCACCATCCTTGTAGTAGTTTCGCTTGAAATTCGCCTCCAAATTACTCCAATCCTGCTTGTTCTTGTGCTGGTACAGAATCCTGTGGATCGTATCCCTCCTCCCGATCGCCTTCTGGTCATCTTCCAAGTCCTCTTCATCCCACTGCGGCTTCGGTCGTTGCAATCTCCTCGCAATTTCCACGGCATTCTCCCGCAGTTCCGCATCCAGCGACATGTCCTTTGCCTTCTTCGAACAGTACCAATTCAGCTGGGTAGATGCCAAAATCTGCGAGATCGTCCCGAATCGATGCATCAACATAGCCACAAACTGAATGACCAGGATCAGCCCGAAGAAGAACACAAACACCAACCCGATGGGTTCGATCTCCAGGTACTCCCGTCGGACGACGATTTCTACGGTGCTCTCGTCGAAGCTGATGGTGTTCTTGGCATTGAACCACCACTGGATGTGCAGATCCTTCTTGTTCAACTGCAGCAGAAAGATGACCAACACGAACAGGGCATTCGCCATGACGAAGGCAAACACGGCCAGATCACGGAGGTTCTTCAGCTGGGATTTCATTTCGGCCTTCTGTTTGTCCGAGAGATCCAACGGTTTGAGGTACTTCTCGATCAGTTCGATCCAGAACTGTTCCTCCGAGGCGGAAATGGTTTCGGTGTCACCGTTGCGGAGATCCACGTCGTACAGCCAATCGGGGAGATAGTTGATTTGCTTTTCCGGCTGAGAGGATGGGGTAGAGGTTAGATAATTTTCTTAAAGTTTTAAATCGACTCACCTCCTCCATCTCGGAGTTCTTCACGGTCTGCATTGGCGAGGAGACTCCGGTCGGTGAACCACCTTCCTGGCGGTGGTGCATGTCAAGGCAGCCCATTTCATCAACGTCGTCTTCGTCGTCGGATCTCACTACGGTGACGGTGCCGGTTAATTTCCTGGTTGGAATTTCAGGATGATGAAAAAGAAAAATGCATGCAAAGAGGGAAAAGAAACCCACTAGGTAAGTGAAAATAACCATGCGAATGTACGTGATAATATCTGCTAGTTAGTGGGGGGGAGGGAGTGGTGGGTGTATCTGGAATATTGCCACCCGGCGGGCAGATTAGCTTCTCCCGTTCGTTGGGACGGAGCACTTCAACGCTAAGCGAGGCACGTTGGCAAGGGGGAGGGAAATGTGGGGGGGGGGGATAATGAATAGGTAAAACGAGCGTTGATGGTAGTGATTCGGTTCGCTGGCTGTATAACGTGTGTTATACCTACTCGACTCGTATTTGTGTTGCGATGCGAAACCAGGATATGTAAGGGTGATTATTTAGAGCTGGGAACACTTGTTTCATTCTTGATAAGATATGCAAATCAGGTTGTAGGGTGAAGGATAGAGCACCCGTCTCCTTTGGTGGAAGGAAAATGCAACCAGAGCGTGACGAATGAGCAAGCTAGAAATTGTTTGGATTGTGGGTGGTTGCAGCATGAACTGTTCGTAGAAAATTGAAAAATTATCCGGGATCAGCAAGACCATCCATGTGCTCGTTAAATTATTCCGTTTATCCTCCAAGTGCTCTCAGGAAGAGCACGTATTTTTGCTGCGAAATTGTATTGGAACACTCAAGGATCAGCCTCGCTTGGGAACTCTAATCGGAAAACAGCAAAGGGGATTTTCTCGCACAGTTACGCTTCACGGAGCCAGCAAATGAAAACTACTTAAAATTATGTGTAAACTGTAAATACTTGTCTGCACTCTGTCTTTCTTACCTCTCTAAGCAGGGCCCAAGGTTCATTTTCAAGAGTGTGTTCATTGAAAGTCTAGCACTCACTCCGACCACGTCAGAGAGAGAGAGAGAGAGGGAGGAAGGGAGTGAAAATAAGCGTGCAATGTGAAGTAGCATCGTGTCAGCGGCAGAAATGAGATGATGTTTGCATCTTCTTTGGGGACTTCCCGTCGCATCGCGTCCCATAGCTTGCCGGAGCCGGAATGGAAAGAATTCGAAACGTCACCGAGCCAGAAAGTGCGCTGGGATCAGGAATCGTCGTGGAAAAGAACATAAATTGTATTTTAATTTAATTGAAACTTATTTTCTGGGCACCAGCGATAGAGAGCGAGCAAGAGGGTGGAAAGAGTGGCGGTGAAGGTTGTACTTCAGCTGCTTTTCAATTTTATGTTCCCTCGAGGAGGACTATGCGCTGGGAATGACAGCATTTGCCGGCAGCGGCGATGGTTATGGTGGTGACCTCACCCAAAGGAGAGCTAGCTGTATCGCAAGAGATGGCGACGAAGCAGAAAAAAATGTTGGTATTAGTAGTTTGTTGTTGTTGTTGCTACCTTGATGTGCGTGTTGTAAGAAAGTGAGATTCACTTAACTTGAAAAAAGTAGGGCAGTTTTGCTTGAAGTCTTGATAACCAGTCGGATGGACGACGGTGGGCAATGCGATAGGGATTCTGGAAAGCTTGCGAAACAAAAAGCACGGTAACCCCTTGAACTAAGAGACTTCCGTGAAGCACTTGTAGCTGGTGGGTAAACATAAATGACATTAATGAGTAAGAGAGGTAAGATTTCCCCTTTTGCTAGTGGTCGTGCATTTTCAGAATTGTTTCTGTTAATGAAAATAAAATAAGCATTAATGTAACAGTATACAGAGTATGAACAATTTAATGCTTTGTACTGCTTATAACAGCATTCACCACTTGAGGACAAGCAGCTTTCAAATGTACAGATGTTAAGAGGTATCGATTTACACTCTTCCCCCGAAGAATGCGAGTAATACGTACCGCGTAAATCGAATTCACGTAAATGGAGTACACGTAGTATATGGGATTTGACCTAATAGGAACCAACATCGCGATCCTGGACATATAGAAGGATACTGTCTTGGGCAAAGTTGTTCAGTGGATTAAGAAAGCTGGTGGAGAGAAGTTCGGAATTTTCTCACTACACGGCGTTAGTTTGCAAGAATTTGTGATTTCCTTGTTTTTGTGATATCTTGAAATCCTTGCCATCTAGGAGGTTGCTTTCTTCGGCGAAGTTGTTCAATAAATCAATTATTTTTGGTGGACAGAAATTGACGCAAGCTGAGATTTATGAACTGATAGCAGAAAAGGAAACAACGGTTGAAGAAGTACTTGGAGATCTTGAAACTCCTGGCGATTTGGACGATATCCTTGAGATGCCAGCACCAAGCGCTCAAGAATTTAAGGACCAACACCAAAAACTAACCGAGCTGCAGCGCTTTGTTACTCTCGACACGAACGAGGAGCGCCGGATAAAGGCTTTCAAATTGCTGACGGAATGTGAAAACCTTCTTTTGGGATGGAAGGAAGAAACTGAGATGTAATTGGTTGTACTTTTTAAATATGCATTTACATCAAATGTAAAAAGTACACTGTCAGAAACCGGAGTAAACATTGATTGATCAAAAACCAAATGCTCATTTATTTTGACGTAGGACTACGTCTTTGATTTCTATATAGGGGTACACTTTGTGAAAACCGAAAATGGAACATGTAACAAAGATTAAGAAAGATTTTGAACGTTAATAACTCAGCTGCCCCTGGTCCAATTTCAATAATTTTATCACCAATCGATCAGAAATACGGCTACGCATCGATAACAATGCTTCCGAATGTTGCTTTTTAACAAGAAACTATTGGAAAACTGGTAAATGTCCAGCATTGTCCAAAAGCGTCGAATTAACTAACAAATCCACCAATTACCTACATGCATATGTGCTTCCCAGCACAGTCGTCAGAGAGTAGTAAGTAGATGAAACAAGTCGAAGTGGCATTCGCCTCCGATCCTCGGGCGCGTGCGAATAGGGAGGATGGAATTGCGTAATATTTTGCACACTCATCGCCATATTCAGAACCAAACGCAAATTCTTCGAGATAACTACCATCCGTCGTCTGGCTCGCCGTGGCGGTGTCTGACGTATCTCCGGTCTGATTTACGAGGTGTGCTGAAGGTGTTCCTGAAAAATGAGATCCGTGATGCTGTTACCTACACTAAACACGCCAAGCGTAAGCGGCCATGGATGTCCTCTCGGCCCTTTTCAGGGTCATCAAGCTTACATCAGTAAAGAGTTGGAATAGAATTTATCTGTGCTTGTTTGTCCATATTCAGAACCACAAGCCCCCAACGACCACACAAAATGCTCTCCAGAGTTGTAATCTTGTAACCAAACTTGGAAGCAGGCGTGCAAGTGATTTTGATTGAATCTCTTAATCAACTTTCTCTTTGAAAAAAAAAAAAAAATACTACAAATTTGATACCCCTAAAATTCAAAAACGGAAAGATTTGAACTAATAAATCATTGATCAATTAAAAGAACTAAATGCTTTTCACATTTATTCCGTCCACTAGCGGTCCTACGTCAAGCTTCCGTTCGTGCCCCTAGGCACAGACCCTTCTACTTTTTTCTAATCGGGAAATTCAACATGACAGTCCACATACTAAACGTAACAAATTACCACCAAACAGATTCTGTGCTTCGATTTATTTCCTGAATATTTTTTACAACCATACCAAATATGATTGTTACTTAAATTTCAACATGACACGCAAACTAATGATAGAATGATATAAGTGATATTGCTGAATGACGAAGCTGACTCTCCTTGACTACTTTCCATGTTGGACTTTTGAGTTGCTCGAAGTCGTCTCTTGCAGCAAACAATGTTTAAGGGTAGATTTCATAATGTTATATTTTCCTCAGTTATATTTTCTTAGGTTATATTTTCCTAGAATGACAGGTTCTTGTTATAAAGAACATATCACAAATACAGCAGCAGGACGAAGTTGACGAATTATAAACTAATTTTTTTTTTTTTTAAGATCATGATCTTGGTCCACTGAACAGTCTAAATAACGATCTACAGAACCCGCATAAAACCCAAATTGTTACTTGGGGTGTACTCCATTTACGCGATTCCCTCGCGTAAACGGAATCATTCTAGACCAACGTAAATGGAATTCGCGTTCTTCGGGGAGAGAGTGTACTGTATTTGGCAAAAATACAGTACTATTCTAAAAGTTATTTAAAGACGACTTTGACGGGAAATTTGAAACATAACATTTAGTGCTAAAAAAAAAATTTTGCTGGTAAATCCTAAGTCAATTCAGAAAAATTACTCTTAAATGAGAATGTTTTGAGATAGAAAAGTATAAGAGTCTGTGCCTAGGGGCACGAATATTACAATTACTTTTGCGCTTCGATTAAAATCTATAAACATAAAACTCTTTAAATATTGCAAATGGTGGCCGGTAGTGTGAAAAGAGCTGAATAAATAGGAAATGACATATATGGCATGTTAAGGGATTGAACTTGTGAGAAAGAATTTTCTCTCTCAGTTCTGATTTTTTTTGCTATCTGTAGCCTTTTAGTAAAGTGGTTTAAACATGTATGGGAAAAAACCTTTTTTATATAATTGTATCTAGATTAGCAATTATTTCCAAGAAAAAACTGAACGAAAAAGGCCACGAATGGGTTCTTTAGGTTGTCTTTAACTTATTTTGACCTGGATATGTATTTTAACACCTTTCCAAATTTCTGTATGGGGATTTTTTTTTTCCTTTTGGTTTGTTTTTTCCGTCGATCTTGTTTTCCGTGCTGAGCACCAATGCTACCGACGTGCCAGGAAGGCAGCTCCCACACCTGGACCCTACCTATCGACCCATCAACTCATGAACCGGGGACCAACGGCTTTACTTCCCATCCGAAGGAAGGCGTGATGAGAGATGTTATGCCTCAGAACATCCCGGCGGCGCCGACTGGGATTGAACCCAGGCCTGCTGGGGTGAGAGGTAATCACGCTTACCACTACACCACTGGCGCCGTAATATGGAGATTTGTACTACTAACAATTAATGAAAGATAGCCTTGACTTAATGGTAGATTCACCAGTTTTATCCCGATTTTTTTAATTTACATGTAAATTAAGTAC